CCCAGCTAAGGGAGTAATTTCTATTGGGGGGGGGAAACCTAGCAGGTCCCACTTGCTAGGAAACATAGCTCTAATAACCTCTGAACTGAACTGCTTGGATAAAAGCAAAAATCCGAACACACTTGTCTTCCCTCGCCAATGAGGTTCATAACTGTCTATGTCAGGATGGTTAGGTTTCCTTTGCACCTTCTGAAAAGTTATCTTTTGTATTCCCCAATGCTGAACAAGAATAACTCTGAAATCTTGAAGGGACCGCTAGGAAACATAGCTCTAATAACCTCTGAACTGAACTGCTTGGATAAAAGCAAAAATCCGAACACACTTGTCTTCCCTCGCCAATGAGGTTCATAACTGTCTATGTCAGGATGGTTAGGTTTCCTTTGCACCTTCTGAAAAGTTATCTTTTGTATTCCCCAATGCTGAACAAGAATAACTCTGAAATCTTGAAGGGACCTGTACAAGAGACTATTCTCCTCCCAGCTCCATCCAGAAGACAAAAGATGAAGGACATGAAGCACCAGTAGGAACTGGTATCCACTCCCTTAGGTTTCCAGTTCTTTTGATTCCTCAAATTGTATTCAACTGTCTATCCTATCTTATTGTCATATCAAGGTAACATTTTACTCTATCAGTATTGCTATTTCTTACTCTTATTTTAGCAGCTTAAAAAGGCTGTCTTCAAAGATTTGAGCAACATGGCAACAACTGGACACAGTAGTGCTAGCACTGGTGTATGAATAAGTCAAGCCTGCCAAGCAGCAACCTCACACCAATGGCAGGTAGCAAGTAATATTAATGTTACTAATGTCAAACAGTTGTAGCCAGCGGGCAAGTAAGTAGGGGGAAGAAAAATAAAGCAGAACAAAACCCAGAAAATCTCTACTAGAAGAACTGGCTAATAAGGATTGTATCACTGGGGACCAAATTGTTATGGCTGGGGGGAATATCATTAGCTTACTAGTAGTTCTAGATGTTTTTCTTTTTTTACTCACCCTCATAATTTTCTTATGCCTAAGAGATGAATTTACTGAACGATCACTCCCTGTGTCTTCAGTACTTACCCTCCCACACCTGTGCAGGTATTTCAAGACACACATGTTAAGGAAGGCTCATTTTTTAGATTTTCTTAAGCTATATAAAAGACCTACGGGACTTGCAGGGAGCAAATAATACAGCATTACACTGAAACTGCCACACTAGGTCTCCTTCAATAGCCTGCCTTCAGCAGTAGCCCTGAGCAGATGCACAGTAGAATAGTAACAAACAGGGCAGGCCTAAAGTATTTGGGGTTTTATTTTGACTGATAGTGTCCAAGGCTCCAAGTATTTTCAGTTTTAAAACTTATTAATCCAGGTGTGCCTCTATCTATCTGTTTAGTCACCCTCAATGGACCCATGAACATGCCCATTCTCTCTTTGAAACCATGTAAACTTTTAATAGTTAGCACCATGCTAGCATAACATAAACTTTTAGATTCCAGGAACTTAATGACCAATGCGGACAACAGCAGTGTTCAAACTCTTCTCCTCTCTCAGTTCAGCTCAGTTCAGCTTGTCTATGTGTCTGGAACCTACTTAACAATCCCTGCAGAGAAGTGACCTTTACAACCCAGCTCTCAGAAAAGCAAGTTTCATTCTTTAGAAATATACCAGATGAAAGTTATTGAAAAATAAATCTTAGAGGAGGATATCCCTGGATCTTGCTAAAAAAGCTACATACCACTTTCACCACAAGCTACACCATCTTAATACTGTACTATGCTATCAAAGTATTCAGTGTATTTTTAGGAACGTATTGTAAAGAATTCCAGCAAGTGCTCTTAATGTTCTTTTGTTTGGCAAGTGACATTACCCTCCCTCCATGGTTAAGACAGCAAATTACCAGACACCCTAAAGAATGCAACAGTCTAGCCAAACCTAGAAAAACCCACTTTTAACACCAGCAGCCTCGCCAACTACCACTCAGTTTCCAACCTCCTCTTCCTTGGCAATGTCTTTGTGAAGGTAGTGGCATCCAAAAGCTAACAGCACCTATCCCTTGCCAACGCCCTGGCTCCTTGACATACAGGCATCAGACCAAAACATGATAGAAGAACAAACCCTCCTGGCACTGCCAGTCCACATGCTCCTGGCCTGGGACTGAAAACAAACCTCAGAGTGGATATCCTCTGGGGCTCTGACAGAAGTGACTGCCTGGTTCTAATAATAAGACTCATGTGAAGTTTAATAAGAAAGAACAGGACAGCAGTCCTTTTCCCAGACAAGCTGAATGAAGTGCAACTCCCTCTCATTCTCCTGCACAGTCCCAGAAGTCCTGTATTCTGCACTCCCACAAACCTCAATGCTTTCTCCCTGCCAGTTTAACCACAAGACAGTATCACACAGGGAAGCTGAATGATGCTAGAAGTTCATGTATCCTCAAATAGACAGATGACATTCAGTTATGCCTCTGTCTCTGCTTAAATGAAGGGTTTCAAGGGAAGCAAGGCACAGCTTCCATTTTCTGTCCCCACTTGGCAGCAGATAAAGGAATAACACTGCCAGCAGTAACTCCAAAGCATGAGAAAGTGTTATGCTCAAATTTCAAGCAGAAAGTTTCATGATGAAACCAGCAACAGATTTCTTTGCCCTCTATCTCCCTCTACGTTCTGGGACACTGGAGTTTGTCAAACATCTGGTCTTGTCCCACAAGGCTGCCAAAAGAAAGCCTATATAGCTCGTCTGCTGCCCTCCCCAGGGCTCTGTTGCTGGCAGCAAGACAACTCCTTCCTGGAGTAGCCTGGGGTTGAGACTGAAAGTTGGTGAGACTGGACTCACTGGAGATATGATCCTCACTAGTGAAATATGTATTTCTACCTTCCTACTCCAAATGCTAAGTGGTACTTTAAAAACAGAATTTTAAAATATGTTGAAGGTGAGTTTCCAGGCTCTGCCTTCAGCTTCCCAAACACAGAGGCTACAAAGGATCCTTCAAAATGATGAGGGGTAATGCATTTGGCTTTTCTTGTGCTCACAGTGATATTCCAAAACAAAAATAAATGCTCTACAGCTAAATGCTCCAAGTTTTACAAAACTATGATTATCTGTGAGGAAATTTTTCAGGCTTGTTTTAGGTGTAAATTTGCTGGTTTGGGTTTTTAAACCACTCTCCTACATATTTATGTCACGTATTTAATAGAGAAATAAAAGCCTACTCAGAACATCCCACACAGTCTGGAGAGAAACAGCATCGAAGTCTCCAGCCAAAAGTGATTTCAAGCCTGCATCATCCCTTGCAAAAAAAAATCACATTAAAAAATCACTTGAAAAACAGCTTACCACGTTATTTGACTTGTTCTGTCCTCATATCTCTAAAACATATCTGCAATCTTCCAGGATATGTTTCTGGTTTTATATTACAGGTATATGGCTTTTTGTATAACGATCTATGATGGTTCACCCACTTTTGGGTGTTCACATGCAACACGCATGACATGTTCCACCACATGTAGAGAATACTTTGATCATATGCATAATACAAAACTGTACAGCCACAATGCAGGCTGTTTTCCCTAATGTTTGTACAGATCCAGAAAATATTCATGTATATGTAACAGCCCAGCATCACACAATTACTTCTTGGTTAGAGTGTCGTTCATTTTGCATTTAGAAAAGGAGCAAACTGAGTTAGTTGCAGCTTATTTCAGATAGACACTTCTTCTGAGAGCCGAAATGAGAAGATACAGCATGAGGGTGGTGGCAGGAGTCACTCATTGCTCATTAAGAAGTGATAGTATGTCTGTCACAGTTGTTTGTCTTACCCCGATAAAATTCATAAAACAACAAAGATTTACAAGATTTACTAGCACACCCCAATTGATTAGAAGGATAACTCCATGAAAATACAAAGAAACTTTGGTCTAAACAGTGTGGAATGGCAAAGTCCGGGTTTGATTTTCTCTTGAATTTTTATTTTTAGATAATCCTTGAAAGGACTGTTTTCACTGACATCTCTCAAAAAAATTCCAAATGTCACTAACATGACCCATTAATAAGATGTTCAAAAACTGCTCTGAGCTGATACGGAAAATACAAAAAATGAACATATTTGCATTTTATAATGCACATATAAAAGAAAAGTAAAGAAGCTGGTAGCTCAGGTCACAGACTTTAGAGGTAGGTCAATTGTGTTTTGTCTGAGATAAAAGAATAATTGTAGCATTTGAAGACTTTTATAAAAGTCAAGTTATTTGGAATCATGTCTCCTTACTCCTCTGCCCATCCCCACTTACAAAATTCTAAAAACCATGAACTGAAAGAAAAATTCCTTAGATTAAATGGATGTTGATGAAACTACAATTGAGGTATTACCAATTTAAAAGAACTAAAATAATCACAGCTTGTCCTGATTATATGTACTTACCAGTGCAAAATAGGTTGCTGACAAATTATGCTCTCTTTAACTATTAACAGTAGTATCTTTGTTCTCAAACAATGTTAGATGCACATGTTCTGGAACTTATATTTACCTGGTGGATTCTTGGCAGGATCATTGTGGCTTGGACTTCCTGGTTGTCCAGAATCTATAAAGAAATGAAAGAAATGTTTTACTAATTTGTTTTGAAAGTATCTCACAACCTTTTAATACCCTCCTTCAGTATTAAACTAATACTTAACTTTTTGTTCTTAAAGGTCATTTCCCTGACTTTCTACATGAAGGCATTATTGAACAAACACACTATATGTAACCCATTTTATGCAGAAGCGGAAACATTGTGAAAGATGCAATGATCCTAATAAGAGGAACTCATAGATCACTGAATAAGGACAAGAGAGTCATTCAGGTAAATACTCAAGTTGTAAACACATCTACAAGGGTACCTTTTCATTCCCTTTCGCTCCACCCCCCAAAATAATATTGCATAATCAGCAAAGCAGAGGTAGTTTCTTCTCAGGCGATGACCAGAAAGACGTACTGGATCAGGCAACTAACGGCATTTGCAGTGATGAGTCTTGTTTCTTCACCCTTTCCTTAAAGCACAAAGGCCTACGCTGCTTCCACAGACTCAGGACTGCACTGAAGATATGACTGTCCATTTTAATACAATATAGGCTTTGTGTTCCTAGTCTGTGAGAATTGCTGTTGTGAAATGAAGATTATGTAACATAAAAACTAAAAAACCCCAAATCCTGTAGACTTCAAAGAGTCTTCTTTTCATGATACGTGCACCTAATGAATCAAGAGGAGAATGCAATTCGATGTTTACACACTAAATAATAAATTATATCCTTATTCATAAAAGCAGTTGCTTTTAAAACTATCTACTTTTTGCTGTATTCCCACACCAATGGTATAACAAAACGCTGCTCCGCTGCAAAAAATTGTTATTAACAAAGTAAGACATGACAGACACTCTTGTATGCAAAAAGATTAAGAAATTAAATGAAGCACAACCATTTGTTCTGCATATAGGTATCTAAAATGGAGCAGTTTTACAGTCTGAATAAAAAATATCCATTTTTTTTAAAGGTAGCAGGGCTTATTAGTAGCATAGGACTCTCAAAAGATTGCATCATAGCACTACAGAAATTGCTACTGCCAAATGGACCCCAAAGGGAAGTCAGAGTTCTTGAATGCATTGCTGCTTACAGCATCCAATTTAAGAAAAAAAAAGATAGAAAAGGACAAAAGTACATATCAACGAATACTTGTCCTTCAAGCCCCATCACTTCTTCTTAAGGCCAATGTAGCCCTCAACCTAGAATGAAAGATTCCCTCCACCCACTACAAGAAGTTCACTGAAAACTGTTACCATCTGTTATGTAGCTTAGCAAACATGGCTTGACACACGTCTCTCAAGCAGTTTAAGTTAACACAAGCTTGATTCTACAGAAGATATTATCTGAGATGGAAATCCATTTCACAGTTCAAGTTCTACTGAATTCATCTGAATGACGATTGTCACAGAAGACAAGCATCTGGGGATCTACCAGAGTACTGGAAGACCAAGGCACATGTGAAAACCAGTTCTGATGGTATTAAAAACACAACTAAATTTTCCAATACTGAATGAAGTCACTCTTGCACACAATAAAATACACACTGGATAGTGAATTTCACATGAAATTTCCTCTATCTTCTTCAAGAATGAAGGGCAGGCCTCCCGGTCAGGTTCTGCACATGCCATGGTTTGGGCACTTGGGTACTCTTAAGAGTCCCAATGTACAGCACAGTATGTAGCCATTCAGTATGCCTGTTTCTTTTCATGATAAGATAAAGCACATCCCTTTAAAAAAATCAAATCAAGTTAATTTGAAAACTCAATCAGCTAAAAAAAATGCTAAAAATATGATGCTTTTCTGCATATGGACCTTTATATGGACAAATACCATTTTTCCTGTGTTGCAATGGGAAGGTTCACCCTGCAGGGGGTGAACTTTAATATTCTTCTAATAGGCATTCTCTGCTTCTGCAAACCATACATACTATTATCTAAATTAAGATTAACAGAGAGGATTAATTTTACACAGCAATGGTCCAAGTGTAAAACTACTGCAGATGTGTGGCTAAATGAAGTCTCAATTTGGTAGCAGATGCACCCAATAAAGCTTGGACAGTGTAGCTTGGGGAACACAGAGATTTGAAAATGGATTAATGAGGCCTACCAGAAAATAGCCTTTGAAGTTTTCTCCTGTTAAAATCCACTAAAAAGGTGCACAAAGTGAAGAATAATTTTTAGTTCTTGCACAGCAATTTGCCTTTACTCCAACTTCCTCCTTGTCAACATGGCCACTTTCTGGATCCAGGATTTAAAGACTGATGGTAGTTTAAACAATTCTTTTTCATATTATAATAAGACAAACTTAGCAAAGAATTTTCCAGTTATAGGGATAAGCAGTTGGCTGGTTATTATAATTTGCCAGTCAGACTTAGCTTTGGTTTTATGTTAACTAGCTCTCAATCACGATTTTTACAGATTGATTCTCACACAGTGTTTTGAGCAGTAGATGCTACTAACATATTCACCAGCGGGGTCTCAATGACCTTGAGAAAGCAAAGAATTATTGTAAGCTGAATATGAGAAGCAACTTATCTAACCCTTCACTTAAAGCAGTTGAGAAAGAAAAGAATTGTATTCTGTGTGAAAGTATCAATCTATGTAACTCTGCACTTAAAAAAGCACACAGAAGCATCTCATTCTCAGGACGAAATACACAGACCTGAGATGGCCTGTGACGACCCAATTCTCTTACCAGTGTCAGTAATTATAAAGCACTCTCCTGATTTGATTGGATGCAAACAGCCTTGAAAAGTACGAGAGAACCATGATCATTATAGGAATAAATTGTATGAATAACTTAATTTATAAGCAGAACATCGAATGAAAAGGGACATTGGAGCAATGCTTTTCTAAAAGAGGGAGTAAGAGGCATTTTTGGAAAGCCACAGAAATTAAGGAAGCAAAAGACATGTTAAGACACTTTAAATCTTTCTTTGTCCTCAACTGCACAAGATCATTAATTAACAACATGAGCCCTGGGTTTAAAAATTGCAGGCTTTTCTTCCAGTGTGATGGAGAAAGACATAAACCAGAATCATTGTCTGTCTAGCTGGCTTTGTATTCAATTTTCCCACCAAATAATTCTGTGCACATTTAAAAAAAAAATACTTCCTAAGCTAGAAGTTGTAAGCAAAGCTATACAACTAGTAGCAAAGCTATACAACTAGTAGCAAATAAAACCCCATGATGTAAATGTGATGAAACTGAAATTTTGAACACTGTCATTTCGGTACTCCCAACCGTAAGTTCCCTTAGTTTACTCTTTTCTTTGTTGTTTGGTTTTTTGTTGTTGTTGTTTGTGTTGTGCCACCTTGTCTTCGACAAGCAGCAGCAGGAAGGATGCACACCCCAGCAAAGCCAAGAAAGTCACACTGCTGTTAACCAGCTTCCTGAGGGATTTTTAATATTGCTCACCTCAGTAGTCTAACCTTTCATTTTTTAGCTGATAAGAGAGGATACTGTCTTTAAAAATTAAGTTATGCTATACCTCCCTGATGCCCCATACTGTACAAGGAATTTTGCTTTTAAGGCTCTCTGCATTAGCATAACATTGAAGGCCTTGAAAACAAACAGAGACAGTCTGTAAAAAGAAAAAATACTTTCTTGAACCATGTCTTAGAAATAAGCAGATTCTCCACAGGTATCACACTAATCAAATAAACTTCCTCAGTGGTTTCAATGAACACATTTCTCTTTTCATTTGCCACAGGCTAGAAGACAGCCTTTGCACTCAGTTAATCTCAGCTGACAGACACTAATTTAATCATTCACCAGCATGCAAATACACCCTTGTTCTTTTATAGTCCATGATTTGGGTATGGGAGAGGACAGGGGACCAGAGAGATGTGGCGCCATGTAAGTATCAGTTTGATGCTGTTCAAGCCTTCACATACGTATACGGCATCTGACTTGACAACTGAAAGAGTCACTACCATGAACAAGAATCACAACTACCTCCCAGACTGTCATCCTTCGGGATTACATCGCCACCTGACATCACAAACTTGAGGCAAATAGCTGTAACCCTGAAAATCACAGGATCACAGAACAGCCCAGCCTGGTGGGGACCTGGGGAGGTCTCCAGTCCCAGCCCGTGCCCAGGGAAGGCTCAGACATGGGATCAAACTCAGCTGCTCAGGGCTTTACAAAGTCAGGGCATGAAACCCCTCAAGGATGGAGACGGCCCAACCTCCCTGGGCCCCAGCTCCACTGCTGGGCTGTCTTCATGGGGAAAAGACTTTCCAAATCAGCTCTTCATCTTTCAAAGACTTTCAGAACATCGTCATGGTAGGAAAGCATCCATGGCAACAAAAAAGCAAGATATCTCCCTCTCCTCCAAAGCAAATAACATGATCAGCAAAAATCCATTAAGCAAATGAATAAATAATTTCATCTGTGTACTTTAAATCATTACCATTAATTATTATTTTCCTAATTTTACTACACACTTACCTTCTACTACCTATATTATTTTACTTTGACAAAGCAACTGATTGGATTTATAAACTTCCCAAATACTTTTAATGATTTCATTTTGCAAAAGCAATGTCTTTCATTGTATACCATTTCTATATCTGATGACCCTGAATTATTGTACAATTTTATGAGCATTATTCACACCAACTCTAGTGATGTGACATTTTGTTTATGGTATAAACAAGCTGAAAGTGTTTTATTGTATTAAGTATCTGCTGAAATGATGCTACAAACATGGAAATGGAACTGGTACAAGTGTCACCCTTGTTTTCATAAGTATGCTAACTTGAGGGGCGATTTATTTTTCACATTTTCATAGACCACTACATTTAATGGAAATACTTCCCCTGACAATCTTGGCTGATTTTGTATGACAAAATGCTCACCCCCACCACTTTCTTTGCTAGAGCACAAGTCTTATGAGGAGCGGCTGAGGGAACTGGGGTTGTTTAGCCTGGAGAAGAGGAGGCTCAGGGGAGACCTTATCACACTC